AAAAAACCTGAAAAATATTTTGGCTGATATTTCCTTACAAAGAGATAAGAATTCTTGGCTTGTGATTGAGAAGCTAAAGTCATTACAAGAAGGAATCACAGAACTGAAATAACTATTTTCCCTATTCACTTATAAACTTTGATTGAATATCTCCAAGTGCAGTTATTTACTTATCTAGCCTACAATACTCATACTTTTTTTTTTAAACAAATTTAAGTTATAGTCAAACGACTGGCTGTGTCACAAGTTTTGTATGCATAGATTTATATAGTTCTATATTATTCTATTCCAGTCTATTATCTAATCAAAAGATGAAATCTTTAATACTTCTGACCTGTGGAAGCTCTTGCATGAGGTAATAAAAGCCTTTATTCTCTTCTCCAAGTAGGGCACTAGCTGGTAACCGTACATCTTCAAAGAATAATTCTGCGGTATCCTAAGAGATCATACAATTAAGTACAAAATTAACTCATTTAAATCTCACAATAACCTGATGAGATTATCATTTCCTTTTAAGAAAAAAATAAAAACAAAACAAACTGGAAGCCACGTTGGAGTGGTTAATGAATACAACCAGCAAGTGGAAAACCAGGGATTAAAATCCACGTTCATCGGATTCCAAACCTTCTGGCTTTCCCACTGCAACACCCTGTTACCCTAGCTCTGATATTGTCCAGTTTTGCAGGTACCGAGGACCTAGGATTTCTAATGCGTATGAAGTAAAATGTTTTTCTCTGTTAATGAAAACATTACTAATTACCAAATAATAAAAACATATTCTGTTCTTATTTCATCATTTTCTTTAATTGATTTCATAAAGAGATGGCCTATTATCAAGTAGTTAATTTTGCCATTTCTAAAGCAGATACTCAAAATACCCTGATTCACTTCCATTCCATTGCTGACTACCAGAAGGAAATATCATTGCATAAATGGTAGAATAAATCTCCATTATCATTTCTGAAAAGCGTATTTTAGGAATTCAGCATTGGAAGGTATGATTGTGCTTTATGTAGTTCTATATATAAGGCATAATTGAGCAAATCCAATTATTTGTAAATAATTTATTATTAAAAATTCAGTACACTCAATTATTACCTGAATGTTATTTATATTATGACTTACCTGGGCTTTTAGTCCCATTTTATGTAGCTTTCGCCCCTTGATAAATCCTTTCATTCCATTTTCCACCAGGAAAAGGCTAATGCCATGGGCAGGAGAGCGAGCTTCACGATTTGTGACTGCCACTACGATTACAACATCACTTAGCCACCCATTAGTGATGAATACCTGCAAAACCCCAAGTATACCATGATGCTCCATAATAATTTAGCTCCATGTGCAAGTCATAACCGGCGGAAAGTATACTCAAGAAGACTCATCCAGACAAGACGTGCTTTATAACTCTCTCTGTACTCTATCCAAGTATCTGAAGTGTTAAATATTCATACATGAGGTTATCAAAGAACAGAAGAAAAAGAAAGGAAATGAAAGAAAAGAATGAAATCCATACAAGCCTTTCTTAACACTCAGTCAACAACAAATACTTACTGAGTGTATACTAGACATAGTTTTAGGTAAACAAAAACCTCTGCCATCAGTGGTATTAGGGATCTATTTACTCCTGAGCCTGTCGTAACCTTAACTGGAGAAGCTTTCCAGTTTTATCAGTGGGTTGATGTGACTCTCAAAAGGACTGAAAGGCTCTCAGATTCTATCAATGATCTTAATAATTAGTTAATAGTTAATAAATTTGATGTTAATGAGAAACTGGGGAAAATGTAAGGAAACATTTTGTTTGCCCCATATTTGAACAATGTGAGTCTTACCTTCTCCTTCTCTGGTTTGATATGGGCTGTCTGGAATCTAAAACATTTTCCATATTAGTGAGGAGGCATGCAAAACACAACATAGAAGAGGAACAGATTTCATGTAATATAGATGTTGCGAAATTTGCACTGTCTCCAAAACTAAACAAATCGATTCCTGTGTGAACTCAAATAATCTCAGTTATTGTGTTAGTCTCTAGACTTGCTAGAATCATTAATAACTGTTACCCATGGCGTGACCCTGGAGAGAAGCCCCTCTTTACACACCTTGCTTCCATTAAGAATCCAGTCACTTCCATCCTTTTTGGCATTTGTTCTTACTCCTTGCAAATCACTGTAATTGAAAAACAAAAGAAAACTTCATTAATTAGTACATATTGAATTATGCAAACGTTGTTACGTAAGTATGAATATGACATGATAAATCAAACTGATTACATCATTATAAAAATTGATCTTTAATATTAGGAGTGTTCACACAAATGCACTAAACAAATCATGTCTGATATATTATATTCTAAATTATTTGTACAAATGAATATGTAAGGTTACATAAACTAGCCTGACTTTTTAGAATATAACAAAGCGTAAGCAGCATTCAAGACTCCAAAGTTGGACTCAGGTGACTTTTCAATGCCCACTATATCCCTGAGATTATTTACCACATTGTACTTGCCCGCCTCTATTCACTTTTGTTCCTCTCCCTATCTCAACTGATCAAAAGCTTACCTATCGAAAAGACCAGATTTCAAATGCCAACTCCTTCTAACAAGCCTCCTCTCAAAGTAGATTATTTTTCTAAATGTAAAATAATTTATATTTTTACAACATAAATATTCATAATTAGAATATAAAAAAGACAAGGCAATATTCTAGATAAAGGAGAAAAATGATTTAGTAAATAATTTTAGCTCCTGGAATTTACAAATATGTTCTTCCAGTATTTCTGTATGGAAACAGATACACACACATAAGCATTTTTATAAAATTAGAAGACATATGATTTTGATCTCTTAATAACATCCAATGTTTTTCTATAAGATACATTTTATTAGCGGCATAGAATTTCATCACATGGATTGATCATGATTTTTTAAAACAGCCTCCTATTGTTGAACATTTAGGTAGCTTCTACTTCGAAATATCTTCCACTGACAAATGACCCCCAAAGATAGTAGGTGCCAACCCCTGGAACCTGTGTTACCTCATACTAAATAAGGTTCTTGTAGATGTCCAACTGAGGCAGCATACAT